ATACTATGACTGATAACTGGAACTATGACATAACTGGTTTGGTAAAAAATAATAATATGGTCACTGACTGATAATTCCGGATCCGATGATGTGCATCTGTGATCATCAGTTGTACCATGTGTCTTCCACTTTGTTCAGCTATTTTTTGTCCTTTCGACAGTTAATCGACGGTCTATATCTGACACTCTTTGACAGAACATGCTGACGTAAGCACTTATGCAGAAAGAATAGTTGTTCTTTTATGGAAGCTGGTTTTTGGAGAAGTCCTCCCATCTTCGAACAACCTGAGGCGCGCTACGCTCGTATAATTTTGAAATAGTGGAGAATATTTTTAGCTAAGGTGGATGGTCTTGGTTGCATTGTGTTCTCTGAGCTGGGTTGTTTAATCGTGAAGCTTTCACCATCTTTCTAGACATCAGAACTAAATTCATACTGGAGTTAATGCTGATGATTACTATCAGCAGAGACTATGAATTTCTTTTACAAACATCAGATAAAGCAAGATCAACTGCTTTCAAGAAATCCAGAAACAGTCAAATGAAAAAGTGCTGATAATGTCGACCAGAAAGACGGTGAAAGCTTCACGATTAAACAACTCAGGTCAGAGAACACAATACAACCAACAACAAAAGTAGTACGACTTTATGACCAAAATAAATGAAACCCTCACCAACAGTTGTTTTAGCAACTTGGAATCTGCTAGCGTCTAGCTAACATGCAAAGCAGTAAAATAACACACTAGAATCCTCGAAGTTGTTTCGTAAATTCTTGCATCATTCAAATATTGCCTTTACTCTTCCTAATCATATTTAACACACATATATGAAGCTTAAAATATTTCGGTAATAAAAAAGGCTCTTGTGTGGTAAAATAACTGTGTTTATCAAGTAGATTACATCTGTTACCATCACTCATTACATACAAAATTGTTGAATAACCAGTTCATATCTAAGTAATAGTAATAATAAGATTTAAGTCCAATCCTTTCTACGAACTACTCACTTCGTTTATTATGTTTAAACATGAGTATGTACAACCAAGTAATGTATCAATCAAACCATAGAGAACAACTGGACAAATTTATATGAATTTAGGGTGTTGTGGGGATTCAATGATTTTTCAAGTTGATATTGATCATGGAAATATGAACCATTGAATTCTAACCCGGTGACGTGGTAGCCAAAGAATCTGAAGGTCCTGAGTTCGACTGCAGGTGAACCTGGGTTATGGGGTGCATATTTCTGAGGAGTGACATACTAGGATGAAACAACTATCCAATGTCCCCAATTTTCTAGTGTTTCTCTAACTGATGTTAATCCATGATGAATATCAACTTGGAAAATTTAAACAAATAAGGCCACAAGTTCATTTCGATAAAAACAAAGGGGTATGATTTAACAACTAAAGTTACAAAATACTAGGAGTTTGACTTAACAGGCAGCTTTGTCAAAACATTCCATGACTGAAGTGACATTCATTTCCACTTCCCATTTCAATATCTAACTCGGTCTAAAGGTATAATGTCAGTAATTCTGATGTAACTGATCTTCTTAAGGGGTGTTTCCGTTTATGAAACATGGAATCTGGGTTTTGTAATCAACTGCTAAGTGAATCAAATACTTCTTATTCTACAGTCAAACTTAGTGAAACCATACTTATTAACGATATTTTATCAGATTAAAATGATAAATACAAGTAGTCAGGAATAACTAGAGAACGGTACGCCAGCGAATACATCCGTTAGAAATCAGTTTTTAAAACTGGCGCTCTTTCTCCAACACGTTTACATCTAAGAAATATTCCATACCTAAACGAATTAATTTCAATAATTATAATCAAATAATGAATTGTGACCCAATTATTAATGTTTATTAACATTCATTGGTTTTTAATTAAGTGAAAAATGAAATTAATTTTACCGTTCAGGTTAAACACTTAATATAGATGTTAATTTTATTGAAAATACAATACATTTACGATCTTAAGTTTATTTATTAACCATTACCTTGAACAAAAATAAACAAATTGAATAAAGAATAAAAATATTTAACAATTTTTAAATAAATAAATAGCAAATTTATGATGAATGATCAGTATTATTCTATGATGACTCCTTTTTTCTATAAAATAATATTGTAGCACATACTACTTAACAAACAGTAATTAAAATATTTCTAGTTTCTAAAGAAATATTTTAAACCAGATATTTAAGGACTCCTTGCCGGTTTGTGGTATTTGTTGAAGTTCAGCTCTTCAAAATTAACAAAATGATTTATCCAGAAATATGCAACAATGAAGGAGTATTCTTTTAACTGATAACACCGATTGCATGTTGAATCAAAATTTAAAAGTTGTCTATTCATAAAACAAAGAAACAAAAACTTCATTTACCTCATTAGTGGTTACATCATCAATATAGTGTTTTAGATGAAAATGAACAGGCAATAATCTCATGCCGCACTGAAGCTGACTGTTAAGTGCATTGTGAGAAGACAGAATAAATGCTCTCAGGGGATAATCTGAACATATTTTAGGCTTAGACTGATTCGTAAGTGCTACAATAGACCACATCCCTATTTCCATAAACTTCTCAGGTGCTGCAACTTTTGAAGTTACAGGTTGTAAATCTGAGTCACTGATTAGACCGAAATGATTGGTAGGCATATAGGCTCCTGTGTAGACACATCGATATTGTCTACGGTTTCAATTTTGATAATAGTGATGCATAGTAGGTGGCAGTAGAATGTAGGACGCGAGTTATATCCTTCGTGGGATTCATCAACCGGGTCAGGGTTTCAGTGGGAACAGCATCACTAATTGGGAGTCACGTAAATTAAAATGACGAGTCCCAAATGGGACAAAACGGTCTTCCTGGATTCTAGTTTTAACCACTACCCATCATCAGTATCAAATATTGAGACTTTATTTAAAGGAACTATAACGAAAACAGTAATGCTAAAAATGATCAAGAATAAAGCATCTCAGTCATACAACACCTCAAAAGATTTTTATCGTACATTTCTCAAACTTAGTATGCAGGTACAATCAGTAATGTAGCACTATGCCTTTAATTACATTCCAGGATGACAGTATCATTCTTCTCTTCAATGTTTTCTCCAGCACTTCATTAAATCAAACCTAACTATTATATATTGTTACTCCAAATAGTGGCTGAATTAATCCTGTCAAAAGGATAACCTGTGGAACCGTGGCTATTTGGTTTCGACAGTTGACTTCCGACTATTGGGTCGCGTGTTCGTACCCAGCTCCACCTACAGAGGTTTAGACAGTTAGATGGTATCATTACTCCTCAGACTACAAGTACGGCTTATTACTTATCGCGATAATATGCACAAAGCTATTTTATTCATTTTCTATCGAAACACCATGCCAGTTATCTGCAGGTGGCTAATTCGATTCTTGAAACAATTCAAGTTTTATTGGCCAAACCAACGTCTTCGAAGCTACTATTATTGAGACTAGCATATTCCTGTTCGTTGTATACATTCACTACTTGTGAATTCGTTGTTCCACAATAAAGAGTAATCAAGACGTCATTTCAGGTGATAAAGCTCTTCATGATCCTTGATAGAAAGTTAAAAATGTCACTAGCTAAGGCATTAACCACTTTAGCAAGACTGATTGACAAAATCAGCTTAGAACATCGCACTCAGTTACGTTGGTTCAAGTTGCCACACTTCACAGTAGTATACATAGAACAGGTGGATAGAAATATAGTGATATCACAGTAGACAAAGTTGAGTGAGAGAATAAACAAGCTGAAGATGTAAGTTAGTGAAAATATTCAATCTTTAGAGTATATCAAGGAGTGAAACATCTACACTATTGTGACAGGTCCTCAGTCACTGACTTCTTTCTCTTCGGAGACCCTAACCAGAAAGTCTGCATCTTCCCTTATGACTGAGACCAACAGTCGGAGACTTCATCGCTTGTAGCCAGGTCTTGATTTGGCCACCTTGAACCCTTTTCCAACATAATCCGACTTCTTACAGCGTTGCACATTGAGGTTAGCGGTGGCTCGGCATTCATACTACATGTCTAATCCATCTCAGTTGATTAACGTCCAAAACCTCATCAATCGACTTTCCTATCTTGTCTAGTACGCTTCATCTGACCTCAACGTTGCATCAAATTGAAACATTTTCAATTTAATTTTTCTATTCCTTCGTGCAAATAAGCAAAATTCCTCCATGAAAAGCTACCGCTTATTCCACAGGATATGGTCTTCTGTTTTGGTTGAAATAATTTCTTCCATCCACTAACTACCAAAATAGTAAGAACAGTGGAAGAAAACTGAAGATATCCTATCTTGAACTGAAATTAAGATCTAATTAGCAGCTTGACTTTATAGCTTAGTCAACAGTATACAAGATGAATAATGCGTTAACCTTTGATTCACTTCCTATCAAGACCTTGGTTCGTATCTCACTCCTAATAATCGCCCATATTCTGAATGCCAGTCTATCAAACCACACCCATTCCAGATAACTTTATCATTATCTTTTCAAGCTGAAGTTATATCATGTCAGATGTTTGCATTACTGACTGCTACGGTTTATCCCCCAACTGCTCATTTTAGTCAAGTGTATGCATCGACCATTTATGACGTTTTTTTTGATCGTTCTTTGCTGGAATTCTGAAGTCATTTTTACTATCCTTGACCAAATACACAATTCGTACAACTTCTAACTCTAGTGAAAATTTCAAGTTTGAATATTTTTCTGAATAAAACATTACCAAAGAGTAGGTTCATCACTATGAGGTCAAAGTTACCTAAGTTTATGCCCATTTCTTACATCTATTATGAAATTTAATATAAACGGTGACTGTAGGTATCCCCAATGAACCCTACCAATTTAGATGGCAACTCTCTGTAAGCTCTTACACAGTTGCATAAGTTTGAGTAGAGAGTATTTTACACTCACTGACTTCATTACAATTCAAAATAATATTACTCATATATCAATACTATACCTTACCTCACCCAACCAGATGGTAGATGAACAAGTAATATTCCAGTATCTGTCAATGACAATGCAGTCATGAATAAATATGGTGTAGCTTCAAACTGTTTATGACTCAGTACAACCACATTTAATATATTTAATATTGCCCCAATAATACATATTGTTGTCTGTACAAAAATGCACTATAAATTTCTATATTATTCTCTCTGTATAATGTTAAATTTGTATCTGATCGTAAAGTTGTTGAATTGTTAAGTGTCTGATTCATATTGTTTTCAAATTTATAATATAACTCTTCTCCTGTTGTAATTGTTTTGAATAATTAATCCTGGTAAATTGCCTCATACAACTAGTGTATTCAATCATCTATGGTATTTATCCAATTTGCATTGATCAAAAGATAAATTTCACTCTATATAGCTTTATAACTTAAGAATGTAATAATTTCTCCTTGTCAAGCAAATATGATGAGATAACCAATCAGAATGGAAATAACTGATTTCCTTTTTATAATTGGTCAATTTACCTTTTATTGGTGACACTGTAGACATACACGTATTGGTTGGTATTCGTGACAAGCTGTCGATTAGGCGGTCAGTACACGATTTAAAAATATTAATACAGAATCTTAGCATAAATCTATACAATGATAGTTTATACTTTCCTTCGGAATCCTATGATGCTTCAAGATATCCATGTTTACAATACTAAAGTTAATAACTAACTATTCCTTCTCAAACGAAAATCAAAATTTTAAAATCTGAGGTTATATATCTTAAAAGAAGTATTGAAGAGGGTTTTGTTTTTAAAAACTATAACTCGAAATCTGTTACAAGAATTCTAAAGTGATCGATATTAATGCGGTGAGACACTTGAACTGCATGCTAGTAGTAACTGCTCAACAAAAATTAAAAAATCTTATTCCATTACTTTATCAGCCAAAATGCACCAAGACAAAATCTTCCCATCTGGTTGCTATACAACTAAATTAGTCTACTGAAGTTCATCAAAATCCAGGATTAGAGATCACACTGATATGTCTCTTGGGACTACCTGACTTTCACCAGTTTTAACAGATAATTTTTAATAATTTAAAGATCCCTAAAGATTATTCAGAACAAGAATAATATGAGCAAGCGAACAATTGTTTTCTCAATAACTTCTTCTTCAGGTTCTACAGTTATAAATCCATGAGAATAAGTCAAATACAATAGGGAAAATAAGACATAATGTTCCATTATTACTACACTGAAACAGTTAGTGTTATGGATGAATGGAGATCAAATAGAATGGAACGGTGGAATTGTCATCAGCCTAGTGCATTAGTTGTGCAAGAAAATCAACATCGACAGAACAATTACGAAATAAGATAATTATATGCATTTATCTGAGGTATGAATGTGTGTACATGTTTGCTTATTAAGGGTCAAATAACAATTAGTAATAATAATAAATCGAGAATAACAAATGTGAAGTGTTACATCACGGTTGAAAATGACTACCGGTAGTGGCATGAATAAAAAAAGGGCACAAAACTAATAACATAAGAAACGTCTCGGTGGGAACAACACTACTTACTAGGAGCAAGTACATACTGCTGACGAGTCCCAAACAAGACGAAACGTGCCTCCTGGATACTTCTGCTAGGCTCCAGCCAAACAAACTGCCATAATTACTATTCAGGCAATATCGAGATTCGCATAGGAGCCCATATACCAACAGAGGTCAAGTAATTCGATCCAATAAAACTACAGAGAATTACAAGCATATCAATAAATAGTGATAAGAAAATAAAGGTTTATCAATATAATAAGAATATAGAAGAAAGGAGTGGAAGATTAAAATGTGTAGTTTGTGGCAGGAAAGTTCATAAAAAACGTGTGGATCCTGTTGTGGGAAAAAGTAAACAAAGTGGATATACATATTTCGTTTGAACACATAGGTCCGGTTTTCTTACGTTGACCCCCTATGGCTTCGGTAATGGATAAGACGCGAAGTCGTGCAACTTTAGGCAGATTGAAAAGGACACTGTATGTCACAAAAACGGCGTGATCTACCTTAATCTGATATCCTATATCTACTAGATGTGAGAGGATTGTGTTATTGATGCTCTTTGTCATTCCTTTCCCTAACCGAGATGGTACATGTCCATGAGCACACGTAGATAGAGCCCTTTGAGTACAGCCAATGTAACCATTTCTACAACAGCAGCTGAACTCATAAATTCAAGTTGAAGTAGCCATCATAGGTCACTTATTCTTGGTTCCCTGTATCTGTAATGGTTTGACTGAGAAGCTGACAAAAGGTTTCGCTGAACTGAATATCTTTTCGACTGATCTACTTAATCAATGTGTTAAGATATCCGCGGTAATATCACCTTTGAAATTTAGTCTAAGATATATAGGCTTCTTAGCAACATTATCTTTCTCTTCTCTCAAGGTTTCGACATGTGTTTATCTATGAACTTTAGCGGATAACCATTTTGCTGCAATGTTATCTTCACCTTATTTATTTCTTCTTCTATACAGTCATCCGAACAAATGTAACTCAGGCATTTGACCAGGTTTCTTTTATATTGAACCAGTGCAAAGCATTTATCGCAGACTGAAATCAGCATCTATCTAACTGACTTCAAAAAAATCTAAATGCGAAACAACATTTTTCTCTCAGAATGACCCAATCCCTGAAAAAAAAGCATTAGGAAACTAAGTACAACAACAAGTTATATACTATATCAGGCCAACTGAAGGTTACCGCTTTCGCCAACTGAGATCGGTCCATTGAAAAAATTATTGATGTTCTCTTCTGAATCTCATAAATTCTTATTGCCAACATTCTAACATTTCACTTCATAAACATTAGTCATGAGGATGCCCTCACGAAAAATATGTTTCGCTCATATTTTACAATTTAGAAAAATTAACAATGTCAGCGAAGAAAGGTTTCTTTTGAATTAGTTCTTCATCAGTTGGCTTTACACCAAGATTATATACCAATCTAACGGTGACAGTTGTTTAATAACAGGTTATCAATCTCAAAGTATCGAGAGGGAGATAATTGATCAGGCAATTATGACGGTATATAAAGCATAGATTAATCATAGCAGGAAACGTTTTGTTGAATTTCAAACAGGTTGTTGTACAGTATTATTGTTTTTATATTAAACCGTCGTTGACTGGACCCAACTGATCGGTCTCTATTGGCATATGGACTCGTGGGCCGATGCCTAGATCTTATCTGTGTTCTAATTATAGTAAAGATGGATAGTGGCTAGCAGTGGAATCCAGGATGTGCATCGCGTCCGAATCCCGGTGGGAACAACACCACTCACTAAAAGGCAGGGACATCCAGCTGACGAGTCCCAAATAGGACGAAATGCGCATCCTTGATTCCACTGCTAACCACTGTCCATCTTTACTAGGTTGCTGTACAAATGATATTTTGTATAATACTAACTAACTAGAAGAGAAACAAAAATAAATTAATAAGTCAAATAGCCAGATGCTAACAGTAATTACAGACAGCAGTGGGGGAAGAACAAGATGGTAAATCTGCAAAATTAATAAGAATATTTATAACAGAAATGTCAAAATAATAGTTATAACCTTTAGGTCGTATTCATTACGGGCTGACATCATTTGAGGGAACCACTGAAAACTTCAGGACACTGGACAGCTATTTCTTTCCAGTATAGGACTCCTCTGCGGTACGCACCCACAATCTGTCTAGGGATCGAACCCAGGGGATTCAGTTTTTATGACGATCACGTTAACCATTCAGCCACTGAGTCGGATTTCAATGGTTCACAGTTTCCAACTTCTATTAACTCGCGATATAGCGCGATTATCACCCAGGTTCTCTGGTAAACATCAGTTTCCCTTCCGACTGGTTGACCCCGCAGGTCATTTCTTCTCAGATAGATATCTCGATGTTTTAGTGGGAAGCCGTGACCTGTGTAGTCAACCAGCCAGAATGGGAGTGGAGGCCTACTGAAGATCTTGGGCGGCACTCACGCTATATCTTGAACTGATAGATATTGAAAACTGTGAACCGTTGAACTCCGACTCAGTGGCAGAATGCCCAATGCTTTCGACGTGAAATGTGTCAGTCTTGACTTCAATCTCTAAACAGTCGGTGTACCTAATATTAGTCAACTTTCCATTAACTGATCAACATGGTTCTGAATAGTTTATTTCTTTGTCTTGATCGACTGTCGTATTTGCAACCCAGTGAAAGATAAGCTTTCCTATTTTTAGTAAACGAATACCTGTTCATTATATGTCATTGTTTCATTATCAGGAGTGTGGAATACTGTGTATTTTTCGTCTGAATATAGCTCTTCATGAGTTTCATTTTATTGGCTAGTTGATTTCGCTGTTTCGAAAACAGTTCATATACCTGAATATTACGATTTATGGATCTTTGTTTTCCTCAGTTACTAAAAGAATTTTCTAATCTGAGGAATTAGAAACATATTGGTACTACTGTTCTGGCCTTTTCTGAGGCACTAATTAATATCTTGAGCCGTTCATGAATCCAGTCCTCATTAGTTCTTATATGATATCCATATGTAAATATATGTACTTTGTGACGATTGAAGGCCAGAAAGAAAATCTGCACCGCGGCAAGATTCAAACCACAGAGCACCGGGCAGGAAACTCGGTGCTCTACCAAATGAGTTGCAAGGCCAGACTGCTGACCACTTGTTTATTTCATTTCGAACACCAAGGATTTCGTCTGACTACTGTGGGAGTTCTTGACACGTTTGGTCGTACTCACACCGAGTGCCCAGTCAGAACTTCGTACCCCAATCAAAATCTACTTGAATTAATGAAGGGGTAGCCAGTTTGAGTACGATCAAGCGATAGTAGAGAGTCACGAATTCACATGACAGTCAAGAAAAATCCTTGCTGAGTGAAGGGAAATAAAAATGTAGCCAGCGGCAAAGTTTCGTAGGTCAGTTAATAGAGCATTGGGGTGGAAACCCAATGGTCTCCGGTTTAAATCTCTTCTCAGCTCCGATTTTTATTCACCTTCAATACAAGTCTCCCAAACCATGGCTATCTCACATAGTCAAACTGGTATATATATGACTACTGTTGTTTTTTTATCTGAATACTATGTTTTTGAAAATCCTTCTATTTGCTTACTACTTGTAGGCTCTACAATTCAGAGGTTTTCCAAACTCAACTCGAAATCATGATTGTCCACATTAGGTGAAATTAATGAGTTCATTTCATGATGTCCAACTGCCATTTCATATTCATAAATGCATTGTTTTCTTTGCTGGTTAAACTGACAAACATGGCGGTGCTCCTATTCGTCTCTTTTGTAGATAACATTTAGTTTTTCTCCATCTCTACTGAATGTTTGAACTTAAGTGATCTGTGTCTATTCCAAAGAATCATGATGGCTTTCTAGGTGTTTCAGA